CAAAAAGAAAAAAAAAAAAATTGGATAATAGTATACGTCAATTGCTGGTAGGCAACTATAATAATAATAATTATAATTATTATTATTACCTTTTTTTTTTTTTGAATAATTTGAAATTATTTAAATTTTTTTCTCTACTTAATGTGATGATTAAAACTACTTATTTACTACTTCGGAAAAAAAAAAAAAGAAATTAATATTTTAAGGGAATATCTCAAATTTATTTTGTATAAGAAAATAAAAAATAAAATTTGAATCTCAAATTTATTTTGTAAAAGAAAATAAAAAATAAAATTTGAATTGATAACAAATGATAAGATAATAGAGAATATAAATATTATTATCACTTATCACACAACAGTTTTTTTTTTTTTTGATATTTCTTCCATTTTATACGTTTATTTCATTAAAGAAATGATTAAAGTAGGAAGTGATAAGATAAAGAGAAAGGACGAGGGAGAGAGAGAGAGAAGAGAAAAAAAGAAAGAGAAAAAGTTTTTATTCCTAAATTTGGGATAAATTAAAGTCTAAAAGGAAAAAGTGATTGATAATAATAAACATTGCTATGACATTTAAATTGAACTTAAATACACTTATACCAATGAAATTTAAGTGCTCCATTTTGAGTGATAAGTTTTCTTAACAACAATGATAGAAAGTATTATCAGTTGAAGTAAAATGAAAACAGGATGAAAAGCAAAATTTTCAAGTTTTAAATTTAGCAACGAAAATTCGAAAATCATTAATGAAATTCATTCATTCACGGAAATTAACAAAAATATGAAATAACTTGTTTGAACAATTAAATTGTTAATTAAAAATAAGTGATATGTTAAACTGTGCTACACCTGAAATTAATTATAAATTTCTAAAATTTGTAACGAACAAAATAAACTTATAATAATGTGTGGATGGAAAGAAAATTGATGTAAAAGAATTTTAATTTTAGTTTAGATTAATTGAAAAGATATTTGAATTCATCATGAATACAAATTATTTCTTCTCACTTCTATTATCCAATTAAAATTTGTTAATCATTAATTGCTGAAAATTTTTAATTAAATTTTTGATTGATGAGAAATAGGAAATATTCAGAACATTTTTCTCAATGATATTGAAAGAATCACCTAAAAGATATCAGTTATCAAATAATAATAGTAACAATAACGGATGCAAATATTTTAATTTAATTTAATTTAATTTTTTTTTTCTTTAAAAAATTGAAGAAACGAAAAAAATTTTTAATATTATAAAAAAGAAAAAAGATTTGTATGAAATTTTTGGAAAATGCATACAGTTGTATAATAAAAAATAAAACTTTTTTAAAAACAAAAAAAAACAAAAAAAAGTTTTTTTTTTTTAAATTTTTGCTAAATTTTAAGTTACTTTGAAATTTTCAAATATATTTTTCTTCTTTTCTTCTTTTTTTTTTGCTTTTCAACATTTTGTAAATGTATGTTTGCGAGATTTTATGAGCAATTATTGATTGATGATAATTGAAAGTATTTTCAGTGATGATAACTGATAAATACTGATAATGATGATAAAGTTAAATTGATTGAATGAGGTCAATAATTGCTGACAGTTAAATTTTTCAGCATAATGCAAGAATGGAAATTAAATTTAACAATTGTAGAAATTAACAATTGCTCTGTTAAACTGAGGAAAGAAGAAGAAAAAAAAAATTAAACTAACGATGAAATCTGAAATAATTTTTTAACTATGAGTTTGTCCTCAACCTAAATTCAAATTCTCTGTCTTCTAGTTTTTTTTATTTTTTTTATTTAAATATGATATTGATTTTTAAAATGAAAAAAAGAGAACTTTTGAGTGAAAAAAAAAGCAACCAGTTTTTTTAAGTAAACTTTTAAAATATGCCAATGAAAATGAGTAATTTTACTTGCATAAATATTGAATTTATTATTTCTTTTTTTCAAATTTTTATGATCAAATAATATAATTTAAATAAGAAGGAAAAATTTTTTAATAAAACTTTTATTTAAAATTACTCAAATTAAAGAGAATTGTAAGACAATAAAAATATGTATTACAAAAATATTGTGAATATTGGAAATGAAAAAGACATAATTAATTACTAAGAAATGGAATAATAGAATATGTGGCATTCAAGTTTTATAATAAATATTGTATTTTATCAGTATTACAAAATAATTATGACATTTGTCACTGATATTCATTCATTTCTTTTCAAACTAATTAATTAAAGCTAATTTTGAAAATACAAAAAAAATTAATTTTTAAAAAGATTTCAAATTTTTTCAATTTCCAGAAAAAAAAAGAAAAGAAAGGAAAATTCAAGTATGTTAACCTTTTGTTCTGTAATCATTTTGTTAATTTTTCTTATTAAAATTTTTTAAAAACATTTTTTTTTTTTTCGCAAATAAATTTGAAAAGTTTTTGATTGTTGATTTGAAAGAAGAATAAGAATTAAAATTATGATTAATTCATTTTGCGAAAAAATATTTTTTAAAAAATGTAAACTTTTGAAAAGGAACAAAAATGAGAAAGTTAGAGCAGCAGCAGCTCTTAGTAGAAAATGAAATGTAAAATGAAGTGATCCGATTTGAAATGAAGTGATCCGATTTGAAATGAAGTGATCCGATTTGAAATGAAATGATCTGATTTGAAATGAAATGAAATGTATGAATTAATTCATACATTTCATAAAAATTCAATGGAGTAGAAAAATAATTTTTAAAATTACTTTATTAACTATTATAAATTTCCTATAAGTAATTTTGTGTGATCTTTCTCATCAATTAGTTGCTTTTAAATTAAATGAAATAGTTCATTATTTCATTTAAATTATTTTAATTTATGCATGAAAGATTTTCACTATGAATTTTTTGAAAAAAAAAAGAAAAAAGTTGCTGTTATCAGTTAAATAGTGTAAAATTGTGTAAAATGATTGTTATTATAATGATAAGAATACTGATATGAATCACATAATCATTAAGTAGTTCTTTAGAATTTAAAATTCCATAAAATTTCATTTTAGAATTGTATTTCAGTATAAACTGGGAACCACAAGTAATAACAGTGCAAATGATAACATTCAATCTAATCATATTATCAGTATAATGATAAAAATACTGATATGAATCACATAATCACTAAGTATTTTTAGTGTAAACTGAGAACTACAAGTGATAACATTCAATCTAATCATATTATCAGTATAATGATAAAAATACTGATATGAATCACATAATTATTAAGTATTTTTAGTGTAAACTGAGAACTACAAGTGATAACATTCAATCTAATCATATTATCAGTATAATGATAAAAATACTGATATGAATCACATAATCATTAAGTATTTTTAGTGTAAACTGAGAACTACAAGTGATAACATTCAATCTAATCATATTATCAGTATAATGATAAAAATACTGATATTAATCACATAATCATTAAGTATTTTCAGTGTAAACTGAGAACTACAAGTGATAACATTCAATTTAATCATATTATCAGTGAGTGTTTTGATTGCAAAATTTAAAATATTTTTTGAATTTGTAATTTCATTGTTAATTGCTCAGAAAATTTTATCAATTCCTTGATATCTTTTTTTTTTCTTGAATTTTATCAATGAAATTGAAAAATGAGTTCAAATAATAATCTCCACTTGGAATGATTTAAAATGAAGTGACAGTTTAGTTTGAGGCAAAACTATTGAAAATTTTTTAAAACTTCCTAAATCATAAATCAGATTTTGAAATTTAAAAATTTTGTTTGTTGTAAAAATATTACTTTCAAGTTAGCATTTTTCAGTGAAAATTTTATCAATATAATATTTGATTTTTTTTTTCTTAATTTCAAGTGAAAAACATATGCAAATTAAGAAATTTGAAATTATTGCATTCCTCATCGAATCGAATCAGAAAATTTCAATCTTAGTAATCCCAGATATATTCAAAATAACATTATAAATTAAAAATTATGTATGTATTCAACAATTTACAAATGTTTAATCTAGTGAATAAACAAAACAACCACGAATGCTTACCGTTTTTCCGGTTACGAATAACGGAAATTCTTTGTGGAGTATTTGAAATTTTTGATTTCATGTTTTTTTCTATTAAAAAAATAAAATTGAATCATAAGAATTTGAATAAAATGATTTTCTCAAATTTAAATGAAATACAAATATCACTTGTATTCATTTAAAATTTATTACATTTACTTACTTATCTGCAAAAACAAAACAGAATGACAATGTATTTTGTTTATTTATAAAAAACAATAAAGCATTTCTTTAAAAAAAAAAAAATTAAATTAAATTAAATTTTGAAAGGAACAAATTTTGTTGTTTTGAACATTAAATGAAATTTGTCAAATAATTACAAACATAATTCAATTGAAACAATAAAAAAAAAAAAAAAAAAAAACAAATTCATGGAATGATATGTGCATGCTAAAATAAATTTTTATAAAATATAAGCCAATAAATTCGTCTTCTAATTTTTAATATTAACATCAAAGAATTCAAATTTCTATATTCGATTGAAAATTAAATAATAGTTCATTCTTTAACATTAAAAATAATCTAAATTTTAAAACAATGAAACACTAAAATATATTTCATACAACAATAACTCAAATTATTACTTAATTTTTTCTGCTAGAAAAAACTATCTCAAAAGAACAATGTGACTAAATAAAATTTTAAATTTGAAAAGTTCTAAAATAAAATACAAAACAATTCAACAAAAATTAATAATAATCCCCTGCTGCTATTGCTATAAAAATTAAAAATTATATTTCTTGCCTCTTTTCATTTATTTTAAAAAATATTAAATTTTCAAGAAAAAAAAAAAAATTTCATAACTTTTAAAAATTTTTGTAAAAAAATTTGTCATATGAAATGATAAAAATTTGAAAGAAATGAAAATTAAATAAATATCAATTTGAGCATTTCAATAATTCAAACCAGTAATTATACAATTTGAATAAATAATAATAAAAATTAGTAATTAAAAGGTAAGAAATGAATATTGAAGGGAACGTATTTTTGGTAATGAATAAATTGAAGCAGTCGGTGGCAAAAGATGAATGCTTGATGGAAAGCAACCAAAATATGGATGCATCATTGCACCATTTGCTGATATACGATCTGTTGGATTTAACTTTAAAAAAAAAAAAAAAAATTAAACTAATTATTTAAAAAAAAAAAATATTTATAAATCAATCAAATTTTAAAAAAAAAAAAAAAAAAAACAAACCAAAACAAATATTTCAAATAAAAAATTGATGAGAATAAAAAAAATTTTTTTTTTTCAAAGTTTATTAATTTTATATTTTAATATTATTAAATTTTGTTAAAATTAATAATAATTCTTTTTTTTTCTAAATAAAAAAAAATTTAATAACAAAATTAATAATAATTTAGATTATACATACTTGTAAAAAATTTGATAATAATGATTGGCCACTTTTTAATTTCACCAATGATTTATCTATTTCACTCCAATCTAATTCTTGATATGGTGGATGAAAATTTGGTGAATAATGTGGTAATTTAAGTACTTCAGGCCATTTTTTCGGATCAGGAATACCTGAAAATAAATTTTGTATTTCTTTTCTGTTTTTTGTTTTTTGCTTTTTAATATAAATATTAATCAATTAATTTTAAATTTTTTTTTTTTTTTTTTTGCAGTCAACAAATTTCTTTCTTACCTCTAATACTAAATATTCGATCTAATTGATCGGTGACATTATTTGTGACACCCTGAAAAAGAGCTTCACCGGTACACATTTCAGCGAATATACATCCAACACCCCTGAAAACATTTGACAACTTCTACCCAACAAATAACTTCTACCCAAATTCTACCCGAAATGTAGACAAATAAAAAACAAAATTTTGCTTTTTTGCTTTTTAGATATAATATTTTAGGAAAATTTTTGATAAATAAATGATCAACAAGAGAAAAAAAGCTAACCATAAATCGAGTGATGTCGAATAGTCCGTTGAGCCGAGTAATACATCTGGTGGTCGATACCTGATAAAAAATTTACTTTAAAATTTATTTAATCATTTTATTAAATTATCACTTTTATCATTTATTTACTATCAGTGTTTAATTTCAAATGCTTTTAATTAAATGCTAAAAATTGAAGTTACAAAATATTGAAAGTTCATTTGTAAATCTGCAAAAAGACATTTTGTGAAAAAAAATAAACAATTTCAATTTGAGACTATTAGCCTAGCAAATGAATTCATTAAATAAGATAAAGTTTGCAATAAAATTGCACTTCGTTTAAATATTTTTTTTTTCATTTAAAATTACTGCAACAATTATTTTAAACTCAATGCTAATTAATATTTATGATTGAATTTATTTCAACAATTTTAAAATTTAATAAAATCAATAATTTTACTAATATTTCGTATACTATGAAAGAAATACTAACCATAATGTTACCACTTCATGTGAATAAGTTCGACTTGGTACTGATTTTGCTCGAGCTAAGCCAAAGTCAGCTAATTTCAATTCACCATTACCATTTAATAATAAATTTTGTGGTTTTAAATCTCTAAAAAATAAAATAAAATAAATGAAAAACAGATTAGACATTAAAAAATTACTTCAAATATATTAAAAAAACAAAAAATTCATTTTGCAATTTTAATTTCTCCTCAAAATTTACATTTTTCAGTGAATAGAAAATAACAATTTTGTTATTTTTGAAATTTTAATGATTAAAATGAATTAAATAATATGGCCAATACCGATGTAAAATTTTCTTAGAATGGCAAAATGCAAGACCGCGAAGTAATTGAAATAAAAATAATCGAACTTGCATCTGCTCTAAGCCAGTTCTATGCTGTTCCAAATATTTGCTCAAATCTGTTTTCTGTAATTGTAAACAAAACTTAATTAATTAGCATAATAGCATTCATATAATTAAATATTTAAATTTAAATTTATTCAATTAAGTAAGCATGTATATCTTGCATGAAATAGTATGCGTGAATTAATCGCATGAACTATCATTTTTAAATGTTAATTAAATTATCATTTAATAAATAATATATTTAATATTATCATTTAATAATTGATTAAGACTCAATGATAATTTGTTTATCATTTAATAATTTATAAAAAAAAAATAAACAATCTATCATTTAATAAATAATATATTTAATATTATCATTTAATAATTGATTAAAACTCAATGATAATTTGTTTATCATTTAATAATTTATAAAAATATAAAAAAAAAAATAAACAATCTATCATTTAATAAATAATATATTTAATATTATCAGTTAATAATTGGTTAAGACTCAATGATAATTTGATAATGCTCAACTAATACTATAATTTATTTTAGCTTTTTTAAAATTGTATCCAAAATTTTGTCTAATTATCACTTTTATCATAACAACTTTCTCAAAATTTACATCCATAAATTGCTATCATATCTCTAAACTGAATTTAAGCTTAGTTTTTATCTAATAAAATGTTACAATTCTTAATTATACCTTCAAAATAAGCTCAAGTAAAGTTTCATTTATTAATTTAAATTATTCTTTCCTTTTTTTTTTTAAAAAAAAATAGCATAAAAATCATTAAATTATATATAAAATTTTTTTTTAATAAAATAATTGTAAGCACAACTTACTTACCATATATTCAAAAACAAAAACCAATGAATTTTGTTCATGCACAATGTCATGTAATGTGACAATATTGGAATGTCGCAAAGCACGCAATAATGATGCTAAAATGAATAAAAGTAAAATTAAAAAATTTAAATAACAAAAAAAAAAAAAAGATAAAAAACTTTTTGATTAATTAATATATTATTCCCTTTCTCTTTTTCATATTTGCTTCTTTTTCATTTAAAACAAAAATTTTCAATTCTTAAAAAAAAAAAAAAAAAAATTGGCAATTGTCAGATTATTTCATTAAAAAATAATTGGAGAAAAAAAAAAAGAATTTATCCTAAAATTTAATTTATTAAAAAACCAAAAAAAAAAAAAATTAATCAATTCAAAAAATTTTTCAAATAGTTATTCGTTAAATGGAATAAAAAAAAAAAAAAGCATTGTTAAATTGATTACAAAGAAATGAAATTGAATTTGCCATCGTTATGTGTTGCAAATGTCATCACCGATATTTGATTAATTTTTAAATTTCATACAAAAAAAAAAATAAAATAAAAATAAAAATGATGACAAAAAAAAAAAATTTTTTTTCAATCAAATGATAAAAAAAAAAAATGGCACTTTTATCTGACCTTCTCGTATGGCAGTGAATGGTAATCCTTCTTGATTATGAATTTTAATTTCTTTCAGTGCAACAATACTTCCATCACTTCTTCAATTACACTTTTTTTTTTTTTTTTTAAATTTAAAAATGAAAAAAAATGAATATTTAAATTAATATTTGAATATATTGTTGTGTAAATTTTAAATTTTAATTTGTATAATTGCTTCATTTTAATAATTGAAATTCCATTTTTTTCTTTTTCATTTTTTGACATCAAAAAAAAAAAAAAAAAAAATGATTGATATTGTAAAGTATAAATGAAAAATAAAAATAATTGTAATTATTTTGATGAATGCAAAAAAAAAAAAATTCTTACCGACTTTCACATTTGTAAACAACAGCATAGCTACCTTCACCTAATTTCTCAATTCGCCTATAAAGTTCGCTAATATCTTGCACCGGCATTTCCTAGAAATAAACTATTCAATTAAAATAAAATTTAAAAATGAAGAAAAATTATTTTAATAATGAAAAATTTTTGCTACATAGAAGCGAAAATATACAATTGTTTTTTATTTTATTTTTGTTTTTCATTTTTGATAGCAAAATTAAATCAAATAATCATATTTTTTAATCACTTAGTAAATACTAAAGCAAATGATTAAATACAAAAAAAAAAAAGTTTTTCCTCAGATTGATAATTTTAGTTTGTATCAAATATGCATTACATTAATTATTCGAATTTTTAACTTATTAAATTTGAAATGATAAATTTCAAATTTTAATAAGCTAGTGAAATTATACTTACTCTGGGCGGAAAGACTAAAGTATTCGGATCCAAGTGCGCTGATCGTGGCCTTCGTCGACGAATAATTGATGAGCTACGCTTTTCTTCCATTGAACTTAACGTAGATCTAAAATATTTTTAAAAAATTCATAAAAGAAATCCATTATAAATTCTAAAAAATTTCACAAAATATTTTTTTTTTTTTTTTTTCTGATAAAAATTCGTTTTTTATTTAAAATTACTATATCGTTTGTTGCTGCATTTTTAAATTTTGTCAAAAAATTAAAACAAAAATGAAAGAAGTGGCAAAAAAAATTGGTTTTTCTTCTGAAGAAAAAAACGATTTTTTTTTTTTTCTTTCAAAATCTAAACATTTTTCTTCTCATCTCAAAATTTAAAACTTTCAAAATTTAAAATCTACTAAAACTAGCAATAATAATAATAATACCTCGGATCGGAAGCAGATGATGAACAACAAGGATCTGGATAAGCTGATACAATGCAATTATTGATGCCCGAACGTGATCGTGTTGTTCGAAATAAATTAAACAAACTTCTAAAAATAAATAAATAAATAAACCAATTTTACTAAACTACAATAAACATTGTCACTTGTCACTATCATTACTATAATCCAACTCAAAACGAGACTTTTAACATTTGTCAACGCTTTTTTACGACAATATCTATCGATAACATCATCAGCACTCGAATTGGCTAATGATAACTATCATTATCTTAACTGTTATCATTACTACCACCGTCGTACTATGATTTTTGACTGCTCTCACTAACGCTGCACTGCCGATTCGATTGAAAAAATTTTGAAACACAATTACTGTCATCAGAGACGACAAATGTATTTTTCTTTTTTTTTTTCAGATAAAGACGAGAAGATATTGAAAGAAAAAAAAAAAAGAAAAAGTGGAAAATTTAAATTGAAAAAGGTACAGAAATACTTATCATTTGCAATGATTTATGAAGACATTTTCAAAAAAAAAAAAAATTTTAAATTACATTTTGAACGAACAATGAAATGAGATTAAATTTTAAATTTAGCAAATATAAATTTTTCTACTAATATTTATCAGTAAAAAATTGTAATTTTCATTTATCGACTAAATTTTTTTTTTTTTTTTTTTTAAAGATAATTAATAAATAAAAATATTAATGTAAATAGATAGTACAAAAAAATATTTGTTAAAAATGAATAGAAAAATAATTAATTAGTAAAATAATTTTTCAAAAAAAAAAAAAAAAAAAATAATAAATTTATATAATAATAAATGATTACTTTGATGAACTTAAATTAGACGATTGCCATGATTGTGCCATATCATCATTTTTTAGATTGGATAAAACAGCTGGTAATGGTGATTTCTTATCATTCCTGATTTGTATCTTATCAGGATGCTTCTTATAAATACCAGAAGTATTACCACAAAATTTTCCCTTATCACTGTCATTCTCGTTTGCTTGTTCATCTTTTTTACTACATTTTTCACGTTTTCTTGATTTTCTATAACAAATAAATAAATCATACATTTATAAAATGATAAATGATATTTATTTGATAGCTCTTACTTCTTTTTTTTTAATCAAATTATTTAAATTTATATATGTATTATAATTAAAAGTTAATCAAAATTATACATGCATACATTTTTGCCAAAATAATTTTTGATTATAATTCATTTTAAAATGCACTCAAATATAATTTTTATTAAGAATGCATCATAGTAAATAATTATTAGAAAAAATTATTTTACTAAGTTTAATTTATATTATAATTGAAAATTTGTTAATTGTTTAAATGTTTAAGAAATAAAAAGAGATAAATTTTCAAAATTTCTATAGATTTTTATCAGCAAATAAATTTACATACATAGATGATAAAAAAAAAAAGAAGATGAAAAATAACCTTAGATTAAAAAATATGGTAGGTTTTCGAGTTGTAGGTGGAGTGACATGTAATACAACACGGTGCAAATTATCGGAACTTTTAGAATTTCTTACAATTGATAAATGTCGCTGATTAAGAACTGATAATGAACAACTCTCTCGAAGTTGTGCTTTTCGAGTGTCATCATGATCACGGTCCATATGCGCCAACCATAATCCTAAAAATTTTAAGTGATAATTAAAATATTAAATTTATATTATTATTATTATATTGTTAAAATTTACATGTGGTTTAATTTGATGAACTAAATTTGTAAATAACTTTTTTTTTTTTCTTATTTTAAAAATTAAATTTTTTTTTTCTTCGTACAACTAATATCATTTTTTTTTTCTTTAATTATTTAGCAAATATGTTTTTCCAAATGTTTTATTATCAAGCAATAAAATAAGTGACAGATTTTTAAATTTCAATAAAATTGATAGTTTCTAATATTTTTAACTTCAAACACTGAAGCAATTATCTTATGAAAGAAGGAATAAAATATTGATTTGAATTTTAAAATAATGCGAGAAAAAACAAAAAGCACTTCTTCTCTCAGTTACAAGATAAAATGATAATGAAAATGATAAAAAAAAAAAAAAAAAAAAAAAACGAATTATTCTCATTTGTGACAATTGAAGATATCCCATTTTCATCCATTTTGTTTTGTTTTTTTCTTTTTTTTTTTTTTTTTTTTTCACCATTAAAGTAAATTGAAATAAATGTAAAAATTTAAAAGAGTCAATATAGAGAAATTCTAAATAGCAAATTTTTAAAATGTGATTTAGTGATAAAATTATCAAATATAATTTCAATGAAATTTATCAAATCACTCTAACTAATAGCTTAGAGAGAAAATAATGCTATGAACAAATTGCTCAACAAATAGTTCTTTTCAATTTGCTTATTTTTTTAATCATTTTCTCTTTCTTTTTTTATTTATTTATAACTAATATTTTTTTTTTTTTTGATATTCATATGAATATTTGAGAAAGTAAACAAAATTTAAATTGATATAAAAAGAATACAATATAGGAAATATTCATAATTATTGTCTACTAAATTATTGAAATATATAAAAATAAACAAACCAATATGAGATGTTAATTTACTCCACATAATGCTTCTTGTTTACAAACGATATATTTTAAAAGATGAATGATAAGTTGGATGAAAAGGCATAAGTGACTATTTGACTTGAAATTGTCATTTAAAGCCATTTCTGTTGATTAAAGAAGCATAAATTTGCATAAAATATACATTAACCTGAAATAATACTGCTATATGATATTGATGTAAATAAAGTGATAAGACAGAATTGAATGAGCGCAAAAATGCAGAAACAAACAAGCAAAATTGATTAAGTGATAAGAAAAATAAAATAGTTTGATCTTGTAGGTCAACCCTATGAACTATGAGATCATATAATGCAGTTAGATGATATTTGATAACAAAGAAATAAAGTATTGTACTAAATGATAGGAGAAGTTATCATAAGTGATAACAAATTATAGTTTTTTTTTTTGCAAATTTTATTAGAATTTCACTACTATTAATTAAAACATAATGTAAAGTTAAATTTGAGATAGTTAATAAATAATAACTAAAAACAACAATGTCTACAAAAAAAAAAAAAAGAATTACTTTTAAAAGTTGCATTTAGAATATAATTTGAGTTATCACGTCAATTTTTTTACGATTACTTTTTAGCTAGGATAAATTCTCACGTTAAACGTAAAATGTATGATTTATAAAAAATATTTAAAACATTTTAACAAATTCAATATTGCAAATTTCTTGGATAATTGTTGTTTATATGCATAATTTCAATAAGATAAACGATGAGAATTGTTTTGTTCATGTTTATTTAGTTAGTTAGAAACATTTTGAAAATTTTTCATCAAAATAAGCTTATAAAAGTAAATATGGAAGTAGATTTGATATCACTTCTTCATCAATATTTGCAGTAGTAGTAGTAGCATTAGCATTAAATTTAAGATGAAATCAAAATTTCCATCTTTAAATCAATATTAGAATTTAATTTTTTTTTTTTTTTGCATATTAGAGGAGCTCTTCCAGTAATTTCTTCTTTTCATCACTCGTATACGGTAATGCTTTTAAAGCTTCATAAATCGAAACATTGTCGTAATCGATTATTTTATCTTTTAATTATTGTCAACTGCCTTTAGCTCACTAATATTTAGCAAATGTATTTGAAGAATATTTCTATTAGAAGTAAAAATATTAAATAAAATGATATAAGTAAAGTAATATTAATGTATCAAATAAGAAATTAATAAATGTAAACTGTTAAATTCATTTTTTTTTTCTTTTGTCTTATCTTTCCTAAAAATTATTGAATGATAATTTCATAAATCATTCGATAACATAAATAATATAATTGATGATAACAAAAATAAATAAATGATAACATAAATTATCATAAATTTTTTCTTTCCTTTTAAAGCATTTTCAGGATATTTACTGTATATTTGAGAAAAATATGTTAGTCTAAATATTAATTGCTCAATCAAATTAGTCTAAATATTAATTGCTCTTTTCAAATATTACAAATTATTATTTAATGTGATTGATTAAGACTCTAAACTTAACAACCGGACTGGTTAACCGGATTGGTTGTTTCTTTTTTTTTTTTCTTTTTTTCTCCAGTTGACACTATTAGGTTTCTTTTAGCTAATTCATCCATGGATGGCTTTTTTCATCAAAGTCTAGCAAAACTCATCATCATCTTCCATTAAAACCATTAAATGACTGGAGAGGAAAAAAAAAAAACAAAAAAACAAAGAGGGAAAGAGAGAGAGAGAGATGGACTGAGTTACCCGACGATTTTGCCCGAAATAATATATTCACCAGAAGTGCTATCATTAAAAAGTGAAATGGGATGAAAGAAGGATATAAGAGCATCAATATGTTATTGTTATAGCTAATTTAAGTTAGAAAAATCAAAATAATTTTATTCCAAAACTACAAATGGTAAAAATATTACCAACAATTCTTTAATTTGTTTTTATTTTTAGCAAAGTAAATGATTTTACAGAAATAAATTAATTTTAAATTGATACAAGAAATAATCGTTAAATTAAGCTTTATAAAATTGAAATTGAAATTATGTAAGAAAGAATGAGTTTAAAAAATATCGAGCAGTCCTTTTTTTTTCTAAAAAAAAAAAAGGAAGAAAAGCTAATTATGAGAGTGCAACAAATCATTTATTAAATATTGATGGAAAAGGATGAAAAGTTATTATTTAAATTTTAAGGAAAAGGATGAAAAGTTATTATTTAAAATTTAAGGAAAAGGATGAAAAGTTATTATTTAAAATTTAAGGAAAAGGATGAAAAGTTATTATTTAAAATTTAACTCTTATCATAAACTTATCATTATTAAATAAAAAATAAAGTTTATTAATGATATACTTTGCTAAAAACTTAAAAAAAAAAAAACAACAACAATGATAATTGAAGGAAACTTTGACAAATAGCAATGCAATGCAATTTATAAATTTAATTTATTGAAACTAACAGCATTTTCATTAATTTGATAGTATTATAAATCTTAACAAAATGAAATGTAATATTTGATAAAAAAAAAAAAAAAATATTCCAAAATTGCTAGTAATCAAATTAATAAAATATCTATCAAAACTTGTTTAATTACTGTAACAGTAATGAATAATTCGATGTAAATATAAATACTAAAAAATTAACAACAAAAACGAAAAAAAAAAAGAAATATAAAAGATTGAAGAAGTTACCGGAGAAGAAGCTATATGAAGTAACAACAACAGATCTAAAAATTATTCTTTCCCCTCTTTTTCTTCCTCTCCCTCCCTCTCTCTCTCTCTCTCCCTCTCTCTTCTTCATCTTACGTCAATTTCCCTTTTATGCGTTCCTTTCTCTCTCTCCCTCCCTCTCTCTCTCTCTCTTTTTTTCCTTTTTTTTTTCATTCTAAACTAAATGGACATGTGGTACTGCTGCTGCTGTTGGTGTTGGTGGTTGTGGTGGTTGTGGTTGAAATAAACAGCACACAGCAATGATCAATCCTATTTCATCCTTATTTAGTTATTACTATTACCGTCAATCATTACTCTCTCTCTTACTGCATTTGCATTTGCATTTTTGCATGCACATTTGCATTCACAATGAAAATGATGGGTGACATTTGCATGCGACAGTAATATGTCAGCAAAGCAAAGAAGTCCTTGAGATGGAAACAGGAAAATTTCGAGTGATTTTACATCCAGAAAAGATTGTCATAACAATATGTTTTCTTTTCTCTCCCTCCCTCTCTCTCTCTCTCCCTCTCTCTCCCTCTCTCTCTCTGTGATTAGAAGGAAATGAAATAGGAAAAAAAAGAGAGAGAGAGAAATATAGTTATGTAAAAACTTTAAGCATAACAAAAAAAAAGCATAAAGCTAGTAATTTAAATAATAAAAAAAAAGAAAAATTTTAATAGCTTAATTTTTTTTTTATATTTAAAAAAAAAAAAAATTTTAATTATTTAAATAATTATTATAAAATGATTTAAATGGTTAATATCGATTATAAGCTTATTTATCACTATTAGTTGCTTCTTCTATCGAATGCTAATAATATATGACCAAATGTCCATCATTAATTGTTGTGATTGAATGACCAATCAAAATAATTCCATCTTAAAATTTTCACACTTCTTCACTCATTTTTTTTTTTAAAGAAAAAAAAAAAACTAATTTAATTTATTTTATTTAAAATTTTTATTCCAATAAATAAAAAAATAAAAAAAAAAAACATTCGTATGTGTTTTTTTTTTCCTTTTTTATTTTCTCTTTAACAATTATTTTAATGAATAACAAATTAATTTTTAAATAAAATAAGTTAACTCTAAATTATTATTATTATTATTATAAATTATTTTTAAGTTATACAAATAAAATAAATTATTATCGTTTTATTTGTATAATTTTCATTCAATCATTTAAAATTTATTCATTCATTGATGAATGAACATTCCACCGCATTTGTCTAAATAGGAATTTTCTCACTGTTTATTTTGATACCATTCATTTTCAAGGTGAATGCTCAAATGGTAAATTCAATTATAATTTTTCACTTTTGGATGATCTTTTCCCGCATTTCATTTAAATTACCTTTAAAGTAAGTAAGTAAGTAGTAATAGTCATTTAACCTTGTCATATATTTAAATTATCTCGTAAATCTTATCAAATTACTCTCATTTGCCTTTTTTTTTTTTTCTTTTCTTCAACAATAAATGGTTTGTTTTTCGATTCCTTTAAATGCATCATTTTTCCGGAATAAAAAAAAAAAAAAAAAGGAAAAGGAAAAGGAAATTCCATAGATTTACCTTGTTTGCCTGAATTATTATTTCTATCTTTATTTGATAAAGTCAAAAAAACTGGATCGTAAGATCGTTCGTTACCCAATCATAAAAAAAAAAAATTACCCATTTACTACCCAACCTTAAATAATACCCATTTACTTCATCCTTCACAATTTGATACTGATCAAATGAAATTAATTTCTACATTTTTTCAAAATCTAATTGACTACAATTTATTTCTCTTCCTTTTACCATAAGTTTTGCTTCTTTCTCTTAGATATTACTGATAATAATATGATAATGATGATAAAAATCAGCGAAAAGCTAACAATCAGCTAACACTCACAAAAATACAAACAAAATATTATAATAAAGTAATCCATTTAAGCCATAGCTAAGAGTTATCGATTTTAAATTTGAAGAATTATAAGCTTTAAAAAGATATATTTTATATAAATTTAACTAATTCAAGAGGATCCAGTAAATAAACTAATCACTGTAAGTCCTAATCAAAAACTGTGACAATTAATGAAGAAAAAATTAATTAGAAATTTTAATTTCTATGAATATCAAATAAGAAAGACTTTAATCACAGAGTATTTACTATCTCTCATTTTTAAATTAAACTAAAGTATAAAATTTGCCAATAAAGCTTAGTGAAGAAGAAATGAAAGAGAGCAAAAAAAAGAAATATTGTGTCAAGTTTGAAAAATAAAAAAAAAAAAAAAAAAATTCAATTAACTACTTTCATAGTTTTAAATTGATGTAGATGGTGATGATGA